GACCTTTTCCTTTTAAACAATCATAAACTTTTGCACTTCTAGCAATTTCAAATTTCTAGCCAGCCAGTAAAAACTTATTAATAATACTTTCTGTTTGACAACTTGTCATATACCAAGGTTCAAACAAAGATGAAATTTCTACTATAAATTGAGTAGAATATTTCCAAAGTTAACATTATTCGATTTTTTTGGGAAATAGAGATAAATATCTATCCTCATGCAAAAACACCCAATTAATCCGATAGCGAATTTTTTTTTCTTCAAAAACAAACCTAAATGTACAAAAAAAAAAAATCGTGCAAAACTAAATTAATTTCCAAAACAGATATTTTTTCGAGATGTTATGAAACTTTCATTCATTACGTATTCTTAAAATAATAATTCATCAAAACTTTTTTTAACCATTTTATTTAAAAGAAAATGAAAATAAATTTGTTTTATTGTACCATTATTGTAAACAGAAAGTGAATTTTTATAGTACAATTTTTTTCGTCTGAATCATTCACCATATTTTCTCTCCAAACCGAACCCCGATCAACCTATGAGTGTATGTCTGTTCAGAAACAGGCCTTGGATTTTAAATCTTTCCAAAAGCATATAATACCCAAATTTACGTTCACTTTTTTTAATTATTATAGTAATAATTTGTCATTTTCAGAAATACGTGCTAAAAATAAAGAATTTCTGAGTATATTATTTAAGAAAACATGATATTACAAAATATCAAAATCATGGGAATAGTAAATTTAGTTTTTCGCGTTTCCAGAAAATCAATAACAATTTGGGTACACAGTTGATATAACCCATTATTTATTTATTTATTGAGTATCACAACAATCTGTCACTTGAACATTGGTTATAGTGAGGTAGGATAACATTCACTGTATGTACAAAAAATATAATACAAATCGAAGCAAAATAACAATGAATAATAATCAAAAAGTATATAATAAATAAAATAAAATAACTTAATAATCAGGAAATTAAAACAAAGTAAAAACCACATACATACCTATATACACTATTTGCAATCAGGTGAGGGAACTCCGAGACAGGTTTGTCACTTCAACTATGAAGGGAAAAGCAGGACCTCAGGAGAACCCTGTGCTACTCTCTCACCCAAATCACTAGTATTAAAGCCAGCGGAGATTGACCGAGAATGCTGTAGCCACATACACTCATGTCTTGAGTGGAGCTGAATGAGTGGTGCTTGATAGGGATTGTGCAAGAGGATTTAGATGTTAATTAAGGTTCTGGTGAAATTTGGAGAATTTTTCTGGGATAAGGTTTAGGACAAATGGGATGTTGAGGTCATGATGTAGGGTTTTATTGGTTACATAAAAAGGAGCATCGATTATTGTTTCTCCCCCTGTTCCCCACAGTTCTAGTCCGTAAGTCCAAATAGGTTTCATTATTGTCTTGTAGATCAATAACTTGTTTTCAATAGGAAGTTTAGATTTTCTGTTTAGTAGTCTGTATAGTTGGCCGTATCGTCGGTTAAGTTCCTATCTTTTAAGTCTAGTATGAGGGGTTCTACGTTAGACTTCTGTCTAAGAGAAAGCTAAGATACCGAACTGTATCCGATAAAGGAAGCTGGATGGTATTAAAATAAACTAGTGAACAGAATTTACGACAAAGGGTGAAGGTAATCTGTTTGCATTTCGAATCGTTTATCTTAATGAGCCATTTCTTACACCACTGATCAATCAGGGAGAGGTGTATTTGTAGATTTAATGACGCTGTTTTAGGATCTGAGTTGGTTGAAAGGATAGCGGTATCATCAGCGAATGTTGCCAAGATGATATCGGGATGGACAGGAATATCTGCGGTGAAAGGGTTGTAAAGGATGGGACGCTGCCCTGCAGACAATCGGAGAATTCAGTGCCACGCGGAACTTGAAAGGAGCGGTCAGAGAGGATCGGAGTATTAGATATAAGTTTGTGGTAGATGGAATTTAAGCTTAAAGAGTTATCCGGCGTGCCATATCCGGTTAAGAGCCTGTGCAATGTCCAGATATGCACCTGAACAATATTGCTTCTTTTCCAGAGCTGATGATATATGGTCAACAACTCGGAGTCCTTGTTGGACAGAGGAATGTTGAGAACGAAATCCAAATTGATGGATGGGAATTTTTTGGGATTCTATTATGGGTAGAATTCATTTCAGTAGGACCTTTAAAATATTTTTGATATAATTGTTAGTAGGCTAATTAAACTATAAAATGATGTATTGTTGGCGGGTTTGCCAGGTTTCAAGAAAAGAATGATGGTGGAATGTTTACATAAGAGAGGGAAGTGGTTTTTTAGATCCAATTATAAATATAGTAAGGGATATGATAGTATTGGGTGGAAATTGTCGACAGATCTGTGGAGTTAGGAGGTCACATCCAGGAGATTTATGAGCAGTGATTTTGCGTAAAAGGTATTTGACCTCAGATGGATTAACTGCTTGAGGTGGTAAGGATAGTGGGATTGGTGAAGAGGAATTCTTATACTTTTGCGGTATGGGTTTTGGATATAAACGACTCAACTTTCTTTTCCTTTGACTTCTCATGGAGTCTTTTGGAGGCTGGTTAATATTTAATATATCTGCGAAAAATGTTTTTTATTTATTTTTTTAAAAAGCCTTCTAATGAAGATTCATAATTTTATTTTTCCAATTTAGGTATTTAGAAATTCTGGTAAAAATGTCCGGATATTATATTTCATTGAATTTATGTCTTATTCACTTGTCATCAACATATATTTACTATATGCATATTTATTGCATTCACATCAGACGTATGAGTGGGCACACAATGTACAATTTGTAATTTTATAATCCAAGAATTCCATTCATATCTGGTAATATTAGAATATTGTTATCGGTAATTGAAATATATTATGAAATGTATATCATGAATGCTGGTGCACGTAGGTGGGAATACGCGGGTCAGTTGCTTCGCCCACGTATGTTCGCTTTATTGATGGTATCGTAATGGGCTTTTCCCTAAAATGTACTGTAAAGTTATAATAATAAACATTCACAGATTTTTAGTTATATATAAATATGTTGGGTTACATGAAAATTACATGAGTATTTGGAAGTAAATACAGTCGAAACTCTGTATGTACATTATATAAATCAAAAATGTATTGATATTAAACCTTTTTTTTACATCTAGTCTAATGGATGGGCACCCTCTTCTGTAAGAGCATAATAAATTCTGTTCCCATCATTGTGGACCTTAACCCATCGGATGCAGTGGTAGGTCCTCACCACTTGCTCCACAGCCTCCGTCCAGGAAAGTCTACGATAAATTTATTTATTTTATTGTAATTTTAACAGCTGACTATTTTATTTCGTTTTCATAGTTTTCTTTATTTGAAGCAATACTTTTTTAAATTAAAAAATATAAGTATTCATCAAGAGAGTCAGAATATTATGTTTATATGCTACTATAATACCTTTATCCTTTTATTTTTAGAGCAGAGAGTGTTGCTAGAAATCCGTTGCAGTATTTCCTTTGTTTCATTTTATTTTAGGTTTTCGTAAAAATAACGTGCCACTCATTATTAACAATGAGGTTTATATATTTTATTTCATCATCGTTATTACTGTATTTTTTTTATTTTTTGAACCTACGCCTTCTCTAATGAGTGTATAACTTAGTTTAAAACTAAACCCACTGTCCCCGCCATACTTCTTGTTTTTCAGTAACAACTTTCTGTTTCTCGTTTTTAGTTAAATATGAACCTTTACGCAACAACTGAACCCCAATACTACTATGAATTCCTCAATAGAAGGCAAAAGATGACGTGGAAGGCCAAAAACTGGGTGAAAAGGTAGATTCAACATAGATGCAACAGAGCTTCATGCAAATAACTAGAAAAAAATAACCCAAGTTAGGAAGTGTTAGACAAGGCTGATTAAGACGGCGAAAGATCTGCAAAGTCTGTAATGCCAGTAGAAAAAAAATATATATATAGGGCGCGTTCCACTTCTCTTTCACAGCTTCAACGGGCTCATATCTTGTTCCTTTTAATGCGCATTGAAGAGTCATGGTTTTTTAAATATTTAAATAGAGTAATATTGATATGTTTCTTTTGCTTTTTTTATTAAACACCTCTGCCGTTGGATATTAGGCCATTCGGCTCCTGGTAGCCCAATACAACTCCGCCATGAATCCTTTCCCATACATCTAACTGTACAGCCTCCAATTTATCATTCTCTTAAATCTTCTTTTTAATTGAAAAGGTTACCTTGAGAGATGATTTAGCAGCGACAATTATTCCTGATGCAACCTGCCTGGATCTCTGCAGTTTATAAATTTGATATCTCGGTAATTGGTCGAACTGGATATTTTCAGCGGATGAGCCGGCTTCTACGATCCCATATAAATCAGCATCCTCCTTTGTAATAATCGCCTTCCATTCTGTGAATTTGTCGGCAGTTAGGCCACCAGCGTTCCAGAACATAGCCTTAAGCTGTGTGTTGACTGGGCCTTTTGGTTTCCTTAATTTTGATGGATTCATAATTTTGTGGATTCTACGATGTTGAACTGTATTCGTGGCGACAATATTGCTCATTTAGTTATAACCGGAGGGCACGTGTACAATGTACGGACGCGAGCAAAGTTACCCAATTTTTATTAAAGCTTTTTAGTTTAAAGTTTTAACAGCTGTTCCATATTAATATGTAATATGTAATATACTTTAACACTTATAGTCTATTGTAGCTCACATTTACGCGATTTTTTTTTCAATGCTTCTTCAAGATTGTTCTACTATAGCCATTCGTTATTTGTTTTTTCTATGGAATTTCGGCTAACTGGACTAGATTATAAATGCCAATAATAAATAAACATAGATTGTCCATGCAAGATCAAATAATGTATAAGAGTAGAAGTGAAACTAAGCAAGCTGTATTCTGACATATCATTGGAAAATAAACTAAGTATAAAAACTCTAAAGTGACTATTGTCGAGATATGAAAGCCATTGTTGCCGCCATTACAGAAAGATGCCTCGGCGGGAGCTGAATCAGTTAGCGATGTTTGCCCGGGAAGGACCCAGCTGCAAAGGTCAGAGTTCACCAGGCACCTGCAACTACCTCCACAGCTCGGATTTATTTACATCCACTCCTCACTTCCAGCTACCGGAATATCCTTCAGGGCTAAGGATTAGTTTCCACTTCGCCGAGCGTATCCTCTCCGTCTTGGGGATTTACTGATATTGAAAATAGCTGAGGTAGTCGAATATAGCTATTGTAAGTCTCGTGTATTTTCCTCTTTCATATTTTTCCTGTAGGTGTGTTTCAGACATAAATTTCAAACGCATTAAAAATGAACTTCAGGAAATTAATCTCCCATTCATAGTATTTATTTGGCTAGTCCTTGATCGATTTTAGTAGACTTTATTTTTATTGAAATCCCGAAAACTTTCAAGAACCATCGCCATGAAAAGAAGTATTGAAAATTTCAGAGGATACTTCAATGCCCTTCTCTCAATCCTCTGTATAATAATTGGAGCGATATGGGATCTGAAGACTAACGCATGAAAGAGAATGTAAAATAAGGATCTATTTACAAAAAATGGTCGATCAACATTACATGATATGAGATGGGGCGGCACATGTAGCTCGGAGCAATCTATCTGGAAGCCTCAATACAAAAATGAATTCCTCCATAGAAGGCAAAAGATCATGTGGAAGGTCAAAAACTGGATGGATAGGTAGAATCAACAAAGGTACCATAAAGCTTCATGCAGATCACTGGAAATAAATAGTCCAAGATAGGCAGACATGCAGGAGGCTGATTAAGGCTTCTACAAGGTCTGTAATACAAGCAGTTGAATCATTAAGAACTAAGACATCCTGTAAATAATTTGTTGGCCAACAGCATAGTTCAAGAATGAGATCTGGAAAAAACCTGGAATCAAGCTTTGATAGTATTTTAAGAAAATAATTAAAAAATACAATGACCCCGAAGAAAACTACTTACAAGAGGGATGTGCTAGAGTTCATTAATATTCGGCCGAACTACAACGACCTCGGAGGAATAAATCGATGAAGAATTATTCTTTCCACGAAACAATTCTTCACAAAAGGCCTTACACTTGCCAATAAAGGCGTACACGTGCTATCCAAACTCGCTAAAGGTCAGGCATCACCTTCGATTAGAATACTTGAAAGGGGTAAACAACTTGTTAAATTTTACGAATCAATTAATGAATATTTCTGTAATTTTTATGTTGTATGTATGCTTATTTTTGTTGACTAAAGATAATTTTGTATGATTAGTTATCTCGATAAGAGTCAATATAGTATGTTTATTTCTTTTATTAGGTCAAAACCAGAATTGAAGAAATTTTATTTCCATTAAAAATTCGATATGCACATATTCAATTGTGTATTTTTCAGGATATAATCAATACATCTTTTCAGTACAAACCTCTGTAATTATTACAAGGGTTTCTTACATAGGTTAGTTAACGGTAAATGTTACTTTGGATGTAACTATTAAAGAACTTGGTCCAGGGCTTAACTATCCCGAGACTAAAATAATGTTTAGTAATAGTGATCTTTGTACTCCTACCAGAAACGGTTTATGGTGTCTTATTCATTATCGTTTATTTCACCTTTTTCGTAGCTGATCAATAAAAGATAATAAATTTTTTCGATATTTTTTAATTCTGTGGACTAATTAATTAATTGGACTTGTTAACAGTGGGACTTGTTAAGATCGTTGGGAGAACTGACCGATCTTCACGGACGCTTGGCACTTTTTTGAAATGAAATGTATTAATATAATTAATTTTTTATTAGAATAATGAAATTGTATTAAAAAAAATGTTGAATGAAGTAAATTTCAAATATTACGTAATATAAAACAGTTTAAGAAATAAATTTAATTTTTTTAATTGGAGAGATTAAATTAGAGATCTAATTTAAATTAGAGATTTAATTAGAGATCATTGCCCGGGGTACCTAATGCCTGACGGCAACTAATGCCAACTGCTTCTTAATTTACAATGTAATTTTCGGAATTTCGATTTATACACAAAGCCTAATTTTGTTTCTCTTTCTTTGAATCTAATGGGCACTGTGATATGGCTGTTAGAAAATAAGAACACTTTTCGTTTTATAACTTTATCATTTATTCTAGATACAAAGAAAGCGAAAATATTATGTTTGAAAACCATTTATTAATATTTAAAAAAATCACATCTCACTCCGCTATTAACTGATATATACCAGGGGTTAGAATTGTTGTTTTTTTTAATGTTCCAGCACTCTTGCTCAATCTCCACTGGATTTAGCCCCAGTGACGCGGTTGAGAGAGAAGTGCAGGGATCTCCTGGAATCATAATTTCTCATATTTAATTTAATCATAGCGTTCTCTCGCCAGATTGTAAATAGTGTATATAGATATGTATGTTTTCTTTTTATTTATTTATTTTTAGATTATTTTATTCTTATTTATTGTTTATATACTTTATATACAATAAATCTGTATTTTTCTGTATAATTTATTTTATTTTTTGTACATAGAGTGTGAATGTGATCTCTGAACACTGTTATAAATTTCCTTTGATACAGATTGTAATATTTTTAAATAAATAAGTTTAAAAAAAAATGTTCCAATTTAATTTTTTTTAGGAACAATTAGGATGACTTTTTAGGAAAAAAACAGGATGACTTCACAAATTAAAGGATATATATATATATATATAGATAATTGTTACAAAATCTGTAGATAACAAAAGTAAATTAAACGCACAAAAATCAAATTAAATAAAAAAATTAAATAAATAAATTAAATTCTTTTAAAACTCATTCACACCTATGTTTAATAAATTAATTAGTATTAGTCTTCAATTTTTGAAAGTCTTTAGTATATATAAAAGAAAAATCATTTTTCAAACATACATTTAACAAGAAAGTCGACTGCTGGGAAGAAGTACTCGAATACAGTGAGCCATCTTAAAGCGTGTCCGATCCAGAGACTGGAGGAGAAATGGTCCAGTTCGGGGTCCATCAATTACAGGAGGCTAATGTTGGAACCAACGTAGGTGGTACGGATCGATGGTACACCACAATCCAAATCAAGGGTGGAGTCCAATCTGGAATGGAGGCTTCCTAAGGGAAATGATTATTTACAGAACTCAAAATATTGTTACATATCCATAATATGTAGGTCAGTAAGCAACATGATATGGGAATGAGCAAGTGGAATCTATTTATTACAGGAAAGAATTAATGTTAATTAAAAATAAAAGACCACAACATAATTGCAAAATTATAATTCCAGTATCTTAGCTTACGAATTGACGAAGATATGGCATACCGAGAAAAAATAACAGATTGGAGAATTAATATCTAAAGATAGTCTACAATAAATAGGATAATTTAATTTTCAAGTGATTAGGAATCTGCACTACTATTCATGAAGGGTTCAATTCATACATTGTATACGTGGGATCAGCAATTTAAATTAAACTCTTTTTGATGATTCTAGGTCATAAATGGCGAGACAAGTGTCCGAAGTTCCTTTGCAACGTGCCCTTTATAATTTTTACATTTTTTTATATTATTGTTACCTACCTTTGTTCTGAGTAAATTTCTATATAAATATTGAGCGTTTCAGTGGACAGATTGACTAACAACAATTTCAACATTTTCGATTATTAATTTTAGTGGTTTATAGTTGAAAAATTTATAACTTTATTCACAGTAGTATATTTCAGCACTGCAGTGACCTCTGGAATCAACTTACTCACTGTCTGTAGAGATATTAATTTTCCAACCATGATTATCACTAAAATTACTTTAATCAAAAGTGTTGAAATTGGTGTTAGTCATTTTGTCAATTGAAAGGCTCATAAAACATTTGATTTTTTTTTTGTGTAAAATCATAAAAAATATTTCCGATCACAGTAAATCAATTCAAATCTATATAAACATAAACTGAATATTTGTACTAACAACAATTGTACAAAAACTAAAATATCCAGTAAATTAAGCCAAGTAAATTTTTGTCATTAAAAAGCAAGTCAGATTCGTTTTTTGTCCTTTGAAACAATTAAATACGTGTTAAAAAAAAATATATATATATATATTTTTTTTTTTTTTTTGGCCTTAAGACTTGTCAATGCAACTCCTATTTTTCATTTCTATTAAAAATTGAAATTGTATTTTTATACTAAAACGAAATACTTTGCAACTAAATTAATTTGTATTAAAGTAAAAAATATAAGTTTTGGTCCTAATTATTGTTGGAAGCTATTTTTTTCCCTTCATTTTAATGTCATTTTAATTTTCCCTTCATGCATTCATAACTCTTCGTGCTTATTTCCGAATTCAACTTTACCAAAATTTTGAAAAGCTGAATTATTGATCTTCCAAACTACATAAGTAACTTTTAATTTTTTTTTTTGTTCGCCTGTATAAGGAAAAACGAAGATAAACTTATCTAATGGTTTTTGTTTTATTTCTCCAGTGCTTATTTGCTTACTTGTGTTTATAAGGTTAGTACCGTTTCTTGTAGTTTATAGGACAATCTCTGCTGATTTTTTGTGGATTGATAGGGTCGTATGGTAGTTATCATAATTTTGATTTTTTTACAGCTATGGAAATTGTTATTTAAAGGTTTTTTTGGAGGTGCGAAAAACAAATACCAAGTTATTTTCTTCTTAAAAAATATTTAATTGAATCCTTATGTGTTTTCCATGTATAATGTCTACAATACTTGTATAATTCCTTTTTTTTTTTTTTTTTTTTGGACTGAATCAGTACTATCGTCTAAGCCAAGGCTTTCTGTATCAAAACTTACTTTTGGTACAAAAAAAAATATTACATTTAACACATAGCTACATCATAAACAAAGAGGGTTAGAAAAAAAAAAAGTCGTGATCAGAAAATTTAAGTTTTACTACATCCATCATTTTTCCTGCATTATCTCCTACTGACATAAAATGGTTGATTTTTTTTTTTAATTTGATATTATTTTATATTTGCCTCAAACCCTAAGAATTCACATTACATACGTTCCAAGCCAACATAATGGTGTTATGTATTAGTTTAGTTAAGGGGTTAATAATAAAAGGGGGTCAAAATAAAGGGGTTAATAATTAGTACAATGACGAAAAACTTTACATTTCTGAAATGAAGGATATATTTGGACTTCTGAGCTCCTGTTCATGTAGTATTAATAATTGGGAAGAGACTAGCCC